TTCGTCTGTCCGGGTATTTCAACTCGCCAACCACGCGATTTTTGATGCTGAGATTTTGCCAGCATGTTCCCCTGCCAAGTGCCACCCCAGGACCGCGATATCAACTCTCATGCACGTCTGGGCCCCGCGCACGAGCACGGGAAAATCTTGGCGAGATAATTGCTCATTCGGGAACGAGAAAAGCTAGGAAGGTGAAACCATAGAGGGATTTTCCCTACTCGTGTATGACAAAAAAATTTCAAATTCAGCTGCTCAGGATCGCCCTGGAATTACGCACGGGCACATGGAAACTATGGAGGGAAAATTCATAACTCGCGGAATGGGAAAAGCTTGAAAGTCGAAACTTTGGGGGAATGTTCCCTGCTTGCGCACGATCAAAATTTTCCAAACTCAGCTTCTTAGGACCGCCTGGGGCTCACGTACGGGCACGTGAAAATTTTGGCGCGGAAATTACTAACCCGGGAACAGTAAAAGCTAGAGAGCCGAAACTTTATGGCAATGTTTCCTACTCATACTCATGTACGAGCAAAATCAGATGTTTAAAAGCGCCCGGGCCCACGTACGAACGCGTGGGAATTTTGGCGCGAAAATTACTCGGGAACGGGAAAAGCTAGGAAGCTGAAACTTTTGGGGGCATGTTTCCTATTCATGTACGACCGAAATCAAGTGTTTAGACGCACCCGGGGCCCACGCACGGGCATATGGAAATTTTGGCGCGAAAATCACTAACCAGGGAATAAAGAAAGCTGAAACTTTAGGGTAATGTTTCCTACTCGTGTATTACCAAAAGATTTCAAATTCAGCTCCTTAAAACCGTCCGGTACTCACGGACAAGTGAAAATTTTGATGGGAAAACTGCTAACTCGGGAACGGGAAAAGCTAAAGACTTTAATTTTAAGGGAATGTTCCCTACTTATGTGGGACTAAAATATTTCAAATTTAACTCTTCTAGTGCGGCCTTTTTCGTGGACCAGCAATTTTTCATTTGTCGCGTCACTGAAGTCGACATTTACAACTAACATACCACACAGCTGCACAGTTAACTTCCCAAACTTCGAAGGCCAGTATGTCACAGGGTTAGCTACTGTGATTCCTTGCGATCTTGCTACGGCAAAAAAAGTGCAAAAACGCATAATCGCACCGGCCCACCCGGTGCGTTCCAGCCTGGATTTATAAAAAATTGGTAGAATTGTACTGTGACAGGGGTGGACCAATGCAAATAGTGTGTATATTATGCTTCAGCATCAATGGAGTCCAGAGATGACACAGCGGCGCTCGTGGCGTGACGATCCCGAATCGGTCGGCGTTTGCAAGTTCTATATTCGTGGCATATGCACCTGGGGCGAAGAC